CCTTTAGAGCCGCGGGGGCGTTGACCCACGAAACCCTCTCCAGGTAAACTCCAGGTAGATATGTATCTATATAAACCAGAGGCAAAGGAAAATCACGTTATTTTGAAACAACTATGTGACGAAACTAATAAAAAATGGCTACTATCCAAAACACATAACATTACCCAATGGACTTTAGTAAAGACTCAATATGACCTCTGTATTATAGCCACACACACAAAAATAAACCTAAATAGGTCATACAGCTCTACGGGACTCTGTAATCCTTTTTATGCTCTACAGCTCTCAGAGCATGTACGTGCATACGGGGATATCATAGAACTATTATAACTTCCTGTAATTCTTTATCATGTGCTACGGCTCATAAAATGAAAATTGTACGTGCAACAAATTAGCTACTCAAAAGGCACAAACAAATCGTCAATGGCATACAAACCATTCAGGGATGAAATATACTATATTTACTGCCATAGTAATACACGGGACGAGTGATGTTATCCCAGACTCTTACCCCCCCCCCCTTCCCTAGACGCAAAGTCTGAAAAAATCCACTGACACCAGCACTAATATATCCAGGGAGAAACGCTGAACACATAAGGATCACACAGCACTGGCACCAGCAGCAAGCGACTTTGTAAGGCTACCCTTGAAGTAAACAGGACTGCTTTTTAACACAATGGAGAGAGGTTTGGTTTAAAACTTTTAACTGAACGAGGGTCACTGAGATATAATATATATAGATATATAATATAATATATATATATATATATATATATATATATATATATATATATATATATATATATATATATATATATAATTGTAACCACGAACGAGTAATCAGAATCGATTACAGAATGCAATTAGCTCAGAGGCACCCACACCACCGTATGTCCTCGGATCAAGGTAAAACACCTAGCTCTGCTGGGTGCTTGATTCTTATAGGATTGCAGGTTCTGTGGGTTAAGCGTCATGTGTGATTTTCGTTCACCATGAGGCAGGCCAAAACGACATGGGCTCGAATCATAGATTTTGGTGTATACATTTCACTTGAATTTCCGTCATAAGAAAAGTGAGCGGAGCTTGTGATGGCTTAGTGTACTGGAGCCTGTCTTGCTCCAACGTTCCCCACCACCCCACGCTTCAGTGCTCTTCCAGGGCTCGATGAGGAAGGATTGCTTGTTGTTACTCATTGCCCATTTTTTTTTCCACCCGACCACGAACTTTGCCACGCCATATCTCTGCTCCAAGTGGTCAAATGGGTCGAACTAAACTTTCAATTGCATAGAAGACTCGTGTACTCACCCTATTAGAGCAATGTATGTCTGTGATATCTGTAGCAGACTTGAAAGTGACTAGGATGGCAATTTACGACCTCAAGAAAGCAGCTGCCTCACTCCCACCTGGCACTGTACCACATAGGAGGGTGGGGTCTGGGGCCCCCAAAAAAAGACTTCTCTTCGCACAGACAAGATCCTGAAGAGGAAGCGTTATCAGATCTTGCCATAACAGTCGCAGACCTGAAGAAAAAGCATCCTGCACTTCTGAAAGACGTAGCAGTGCAAACCATTCAGCACCGACTGCAAAATGACCTGAAAAAGGCTGCTCGATGTGCTTCCAAGAAGACCATGCTTACTGAAGCCATGAAGAAACGGCTTCAGTTCTGCAAGATGTACAAGGATTGAACCTCAGACCAGTGGCAAGAATGTGATGTTCAACGACGAGAGTACCTTCAGGCTCGTCAGGAGCAGCTCTAAGACC